ATTTCCAAAATCATATCTTTTAAATAAAATCATGTACAAGTATTCTTTAAGTGCTTACTTAGCGCAAGTATAGTTCATGTTTTGAATATAATATCGCTAACTTAAGGTATTTTCAATCAAAATCAAACATATGATAACATCAATTGAGAGGTATAATTACTTTAGCCCCTCAGTTTACTATCCGTCGTCTGTCAGTTGTCAACTTCACAAGTGGTAGTCAAATTCCTGACTATACCAGGCTACACAATGATCACATGTTTGCGGGAGATATCTAAACAATTGCACTTACAGCCGCAATTTAGTGTTGTCCTTCAAAACACGAAAAGCAAGCAATTTAAGGATTTTACAAAAATAATTTAAAGAGAATAGTCCAATATTGTACCCACAAATAGGATGTTTCGTTTGCAGTCACACTGTCGTCAAGGAAATTCCAACTGCCTCCTGCAGTTATGAGTCATATTAGGTTACTTATCATGCGTACATATGTGGCAGCCATAAAGCGTGTTACGAGAGTGTGCTGCATACGTAATGTACAATTTCGATACAGAATACTATTGTAACGCTTTATTACAGCTATATAACAGCAGGTAACTGAATCTTGGCCATGTAATCAAATCATTGCACTAACACGATCTAAGCCATCGGGATATAATGACGCATTTGAAGCAATTAGACACACATCGTGACTGACTGATCCTCATTATGTACGGAAATATCAAGTGGGCATCAATACATATACACCTACAATGAGTGAGTTGGTTCGTTTCACGCCACTTTGGATAGTAATCATTTGAGGCTTAAATTCACCAAGACCAAGTCACGGCATTTCTACTGGTGACGCCACATGTCATTCTTGCTCTGTTCAATGTACAATTTCCAAATATTTTATCAGATATTTCTTATTATGTGTTCAACATATATGGATGTGTGCTCATTGTGAGAAAGGCGTTTCGTTAATAAAATTATTTGTAATGTTTTAACATGTCGTGTGGCTTCATTATGACGTATGTTTGAGAAAAACGTATTTCATATATTTAACGGCTTATCAGCTCGTTGTGAGAAGAAAGCCCGAGGTGATGTATGCCTTAGATGTTCACCATTTCAGGGAAACCCGTGAAAATTTATAAGGTTATTATAATGATCACCATGAATATATGTAAGAAACATAAATAGGATGACTCTAGGATTCGAACCCTCGACCAACTGTTTCTAGCAGGCCTTTGATACGCAACTGTGCATACTAAATTGTGGCGTGTTGGACGATTGGGTTTCTTATGTATATGCGGTATGAATGTACATCAGGTCATAAACGTGCTATAATCCTTAAAAGTATGTTCAATCCAATTCACAGGGTGACGCCTGGTGGTAAGAGTTGCCAGGTCATACATATATCAAGTCACTATCATTGTACGTTTAATACTTATTCATACTGTCAATCACATTGAATTACTGAACACGTCACCGTGTGACAGAATGGGATAGTCATATTTCAGTTTTAAATTTAACACTCTGTCCTTAGGATTGCTTTATAATTCGCCCCAAATGAGTCAATTCTAATCTCTGACAAAAGTCTTCTACGATGAGAATAAATTAAGAGAGAGCGAGGAAGTTGTCTATCTCATCGAATGGCGTGGTTAGAATTAATCTTTTCAGGTGTTTGACAGCCGTCGTTTAATATTCAAATTATTAAGTAATTCAAGCTGAATTTGCCTAAGTTTAATCCAATAACTAGGTGAAACCCCTTCGTGCCCAAACCACTTCCATTAGAGTTCACATATACGATATAAAAATATAAAGTTGTTTAAACTTTAGATACAAACGGCAACTAGTAAAAACAAATGTAATACATATTTAATACAAGCAAACTGAAGACCAATATATTCCTAACGTGGTAAACTGGTATGTAATGCATACGGAAATCAGACAAAATACAGCAATTATCAGCGCGTGGGAATACAACAATGTAAATGTAAAGAACTGCCTATTATAAACATTCAGCGTAAGACATTAGTAGATTACTCAGGGTGCTGAACAATGTTCATAAAAACACAGTCGTGTGTGTAAACTGCCAACTATGATGAAGTGCCAAAGGTCTTCGTCAAGGCTCCTCGTCAAGGCTCCTCGTCAAGCTCTCATGCGGCAGTGCAGCTTCTACGAAGCAGTCCGAAATATGTGTTTGACGGAATACTGTCTTATTCTACAACTCTGGGAACAATATTGTTTTTTAAAAGCCATCATGTGACAGTGCAGCTTCCACGTTTCTGATCTGGTAACGACAAGTGTCTTTGAACTTTGACCAGCGGCGGTAAATATTATCCCCAATCTCGAGTGACGATATCGGTTTATAGTCATCAGGCAGTTTTTGCAATTGATATCATTATCACTCCATCTTTTTCATAATGGCAATCTGTTTCAAGTTGTTACGGTGTGTGTGTGTGTGTTTGTACGTGTGTGTGTGTGCGTGCGTGCGTGCGTGCGTGCGTGCGTGCGTGTACGTATATGTGTACATGTATGTGTACTAGTTCGGACTAATGCCGATTTGCTAGCCCACTGAGATACCATGCCGCACTTTTAACACGAATACCTCACTCCGACACAATATACTGACTTCGAGCGGACTAGTCCTTGCTTTAGCCCCTTAACAACTACCTTTTAACTCCCTTATTGGTGAGTGCCAAATACCATCCTTTTGGCTTGACGTTGCTGGACATCGAGCCCCGGACCTTCCGCTCTCCGGGCGGATGCTTTACCACTAGACCACGTAGGTGGTCTCAAGCTGGTACGACGTGATAATGAATTGCTTGAGTACAAAATGAATGTCCAGGTAAATAAATAATTTAGAATAATATTACATGATACGTTTTTATTATTTATTATATTGTTACAATCTGTTTGTCAACGTTGAAACGTAGTATTAAACCAAAGATGACCAGATTATATGTAATAGTCTCTCTTTTTCGGAAATTCTCTTTGTTGGTTGTCGAGAACCCCGGATAACTCGAACATGTTTCCTGGTCCCCGCGACTTTCGACACAACGAGGTTCGCCTATATGTAGTTATATTGTGGGCTTGGACATATCCGTATCTACAATTTCTCGCGCACCTTCTCTCTTTTAGATCGGGTAGACCTGTGAATTGTCAGGGTGTCGGCTCGTTCTGAAAATAGAAATACAACTGCATTGACTTGACGATATGTGGGGACTCTGCAGGAAACAAAGGCCACTTTGCAAGAAACCTATGATTATGGGTTCGAATCCCTGTTCCCCACGATGTGTTTCTAGATCTGTCAGCACCATACCCGTTCTCGTGGAATCCATCAAAGTGGCAAACGTCTGAGACCTTCACTACTCCGGACTTTATTCAATCTGGATTAATATCAAAGGTGGCGCTAAACCAAAACCAACCAACTCACTCACTCACTCACTCACTCACTGACCATTCGTCAAACTGCATGCGAAAGATAAACGGCAAGTTGGACATGGATGATTCTTCAGTAGGTTGTTACAAAGAATTATCTGTCACAGTACAGCCATCGTACTTCATTACTTCCCTTCACACTGATTCTGACATTCTGCTGAAATAGGTAAATAATTGTAAATTCCTGAACGCCCCAAAACCTCCTAGAGAACGATGTATCAAGAATCATATGGACCTCACAAACTCCGGTGATAACTGAGCCGCATCAATATATATCTTTATTCAAATTTGACTGTCTTAAATCTCATGCCTCTTTCTGTTTTAGATATATGCACTTTCGGTTTAATGACACCCCTACCGGTCTAGAAAACACATTCCCAAAACTGCAGAATTTAAAACAGAAAGCCCAATGATATTTTTTTTTTCACTGGAAAGTAATATGAATATTCGGTGAAATTACATCATTTATCAACCATACCACCAGCTGTGTAATAAGACAGTAATATGCTCAGGGCTCTAATGACGTTGAGCTTCAATCCCATCTATTGTCTGCCAGACAGGATGAATATTCAAAAGTGTCCCTCAGTTTTACGACATTGTTTACAACTAGCTGACGTGTGACACTGACCTTGGCTTGACTTTATTAAAATTTTCTAATCCCTTCTTGAGTTTAGTCAACTTTCTTTTATAGAGTTATATAAACATCGTCTCAAGGGTTTGTGGTGTAAGAAGTGATCTTCATCTTCACAATGTGGGCCAATAACCTGCTACAACAGTTCCAGATACAGAGTTATATTCTGGTATTGTGGGTACTGTTAATGGTCAGTGACATCGAAGGAAGCGTTCGTACAATGTAACTAGATATTTTTATTGGCAACACTGGCAATCGAGTTAATTTCGAGTTCCCGCCCTTGGTTGTTTGTATACTCCAGGACAAACTACATCATTCGAGGAGTTTCGTGATGTGACAGTTTCAAGAAGGCAGGCTGCACCTATATAAGAGCGAGACGAGGGCGATTTGAGGCCTTCTACGATCTAACTTGTGCGCGCCTTATCTACTTGCCTAGCTGAAAGTGTCGATTTCCTGCCAGCTTCCAACACTGATTCCGGAATCAAGAACTGAGCACGTGCCTCACTTAAGACATTCGACAATGAAAAATTCGTGAGTGCTGATATTTATTCTATGGTCAGCTATATATTGCCGCTGCCACGTATTTGACTCATTGTTTGGCCTTTTGTGAATATAAATCTATAAATAAATGAACTGTGTGTTCATTATTATTTATCTTGTTTGGATATTTAGTGCTTCCATAATTTAGATCTGTTCATACCGATTTCAGGGTTATCCTCGGCATTTGAATTTTGAAATCACCCCGAAACAATAGGAAGCTACAAATATGGTTATGCAATACAGTACTTTTTGCATTTCTCCAACCAGAATACCTTCAATGTTAAAGCCAAAACATTTTACCAATACCAGGTGTGTAAGTCATTTACATACCAGGTGTGTGGCATAAATCAAATCAACTGTTCAAGTGTTCTCAAATGTCTTGCTAACATGTACCTTTGCATCTGCCTAGCATCATCAATAGTATCTGGGAGTGGAGCTTTCCAAGTTTCGGGCAACGCCAGAGCTGCAGATCCCGCCAATAGCATGGACGTACCGATTAAAAGGAGAGGGACAGCCCGACCAAAGTCTCCTGATACCACTAGAGCCTGTTTAACAACAGAAATGATTCCGTATGAAAACGATAGCTGTTATTGTGACATGATACGCATCTAAATTTACAGACTCACAGACACGATCGCCCAGATGCAATTGCCGACCGGACTTTGTTTTCCACATCAAGGATTCACCCTTATCATTATATTATCCTTGTTACGTTGCTTGATGCGCTTTCTTTCTCCTGTCCTTTCTCCTGTCCCTGGTCTCTAGAAATCATATTTCGACTATGCTGTCTCAATACTAAACTGCCGGGTGAAAGAAAGTACATTCTTGTCGATGATGGCTCAAAATGAAACAAACATGATATGGTTATTCGAAGGATATGTGTCTGATACGGGTATCACAGGTGTCCAGGCGAAATTGGACCTTAAGTTCACAGTGCTTCGGTGACTGTACACGGTTTTAGCCAAGGTGCGTTTTGCTAACGTTTGTGATATTTTGTCTAAATCCAATTTTATATATACGAATATACTTTTTTCCCGACTGTTTACAATGTTTTATAATGAGTGTGTTGTCCACGGAACATATCTGTCCACACATTAAAATATCGTTTATATTTTTGTGAAAATAATAAAGAGACATAACTTTAGAGAACATACCAGGTTAGCAATGTAAGGCGATAAAGTTCCTCCAACCCTGCAGAATATGCTAGCAACGGCCAGAGCCGAGTTTCTGATGACAGTAGGGAAGAGTTCTGAAGAATACAACCAGATGACGTCGAAACTTGCCACTGCGAAACCCCGACCAGTCAAAGCTAAGGCAATGGTCAGCCAGTTCAGAGCTGGGGAGAATATAGAACATACTCTATTTGAGGGTAAAATCTATATTCACTCTTTCTCTCCAATATATTTGACAAATTATCTGTAAACCTCGAAGGCAACATTGCTAAAAGTGAGTGAGTGAGTGAGTGAGTGAGCGAGTAAGTGACGTCTCAGTCAGCAATAGTTTTCCCAGCTATATTACGTCGGCCTAGAGGTATTTGAGAGCGGACCAGGCACACTAACCAGCAAACCAGTAACTACAAGCTGAAACAACGCTCCAAGTCACAGATATATCCTGACCACATTCTCCCATTTCAGCTGGTTCTTTCGACAATAATCAGTTACGGGTGACCCATCATAACCTGGAACAACCACATAGGTGGAGATTATAGGTGTAAGCAATAACACACTCCATATGTGAAAAGATAAATACATCAACATATCAAGATAATTATGCCTTACACACATCGCCATAGAGCACAGGTAGAATGGTCGCTGTGCAGCACACCCCGCCGAGGATCATGGTGGTGCAGAGAAAAGACTTCCTTCCAATGCGGTCGAGGAGAAATAGGCTCGCAACATGGCCGACCAGCTCAGCCACGGATGAAATGAAGAAGTTTGTGTAGACACTCCCGCCAAGATTAGCCACGTTCAGGCCGAGGCCAAAGAAGCCGATACTAACAACGAACCTGGAGGATTAGAAGTGTTTGAAGTTGTTCTACTATGGTGCAAGGAAGTCAAAACTGTTTTTCCAAGAATCCTAGAAAAGAGAACGATAGCTATAGCTGGAACCACAACGTTCGCCTCATCCATGATTGTATCAGTTCCTAGGCTTGACGGAGGCAAGGACAAACAGCCAATGAAATCACCATTCATCTGCGTGTTCGCCGGCCATATGGCATTTCACGTTTGACTGATCGCCACATTGTTGCCCATCGCCCCTTATCGGAGTGGTAGTCTGTGGATACCAGTATGACATATATGCGGCCGAATCAGTGATGGTATGAAGTTGTCTCACCACGACACCATTTCACATCGTCACAGGGCAGTGCGACCATGATAACATATTGGCGCTATCGTGCTAGCCTATTTATCCAAAGCAGTTCGTCTTACCTCATTATCCTCTGGGACGAATCCTTCAAATTCTTAGAATACCTCATTCCAACTTCAATCAAAACCACATCTGCATATTTGCCAGACATTCTTTGCATGTTATTTTTCTTGGATATGCTATATTTCACTGCATAGTACATTACGCTACCACATGTTTCTTGTTATATATTGGGCTAAATAGTAAATACCATGACATAATACGTCTATGTGACGTTTTGCGTGTCAGTATTTGTTTTCAACCGGCGAACGGCAGGCCTTCGACCGAATCTAGAGCAGGTTGTGATCCATCGTGAACACTGTGAAGGACATCATCCATACTTTTACTAGTACATATTTAATACGCAATGGCTATGGCTATTTTTCAACTGTTGGCAATATGTGATCCATCGTGAACACTGTGAAGGACATCATCCATACTTTTACTAGTACATATTTAATGCACAATGGCTATGGCTATTTTTCAACTGTTGGCAATATCTGATGATATCTCAACCCTGAATGTTTCATATTACACCTGAAACCAAAGTAGCAAGAGAATAGCCTGATTATTCCTCGAACTGGTAATCAGGGACAATAAAGCATTAATTGAGCACCACTCACGTTTTCGGAAATGTGCCACATTAAAATATGATTGATGCGATTCATTGCTGGAAACACGACAAAAGAGTGGTAAACTGACAAAGTCTGACACTACCATCACACTAATAATGAACCTGACAATAGCAATCAGTACCAATATGTTGGCGTTACACGCAGAAGTCTAAAATCGTTCATTTCAACAATGCTGAAGGGTATCAGCACCCATACAACACCATGAAACAGACTGTCAAATTATGAAGTAAAATACGATTATTGTCAACTTAGGAAACACCATGACCTTGGAGTCAGTATCTTGAGAATGAACCCCTCTCGCGGATGACATTCGCGAGACGCCTCCTCTACACTGAGATCCTCTGCAATTCCCGTTGCAGTGCTTAGGTCACTTCATGCAATTAATGGTGATGCACGTTGCACGTTGGTCGAATGATGATGATGCTATCATGTCTTTCCTCTTAGACGAACAGCATGATTGCATGAAAGGCCTTGAGCTTGATATATGGGGCGAAACTATGTTACTAGTCTCTCATTATGTTAACAAGTGGCAGCATTCGTTCATACCCGCTTCGCTATGACATGAAACTAGATTGTTTAGTTTTTAATTACATTCAGGTATCTATTTTATATACTGTATCTTCAATACTGGAGGAAATAAAGACAATCGATCTATCTATCTATCCATAATGCATCTAAAGACGAAGTAAGTGTTGTTGATCCCTACCAGTTGAATATCACCACCAGTGTCCGTACAGCCAAAGTGGGATTTGTGAATATTCGCCAAAGCGGTTCCTATCTTCTGTTCTAACATGTTTTCACTGAATATGTCAGAGGGTAAGGTCTTCTTGTTGACCTTGGCAGCATGACGTAATAGCTGGTCCGCTTCCTCATACTTCATCTTACTGATCAGCCAGCGTGAAGTCTCTGATATAAGCCTTAAACGAAGTTTTAAATTGTATATTAATGAATAGAATTGTTCTGTAGTGAGTTGGGTAAAATCGATTATACAACAATAAAACAGTATGGTAAATATTACCAGATTCATCAAATTTGAAAGTAAAACATAGCTAGGCTATATTTATAAGCACTGCATCAACAGCATGTAACTGATACACATATTAACAGTGTATTATGGAGACCAAATTCGTAGGAGTATTGTGAAATTATTTTTTCCATGGATCCACATCCCTTGAATTTACAATATGATATTGAGATAAATTTTAGCAGCACCACGATCCCAAGTGGTGGGATAAATTTCGATTTTCTATGAAACAGGCACACGTGTAGAGAATTGAAATTGCAATCGTCTTCTGGGTTTGACTGATGTGATACCATTTAATGATTAAAGGAATTGTTCAGTACCCATCATAAACTTGCACGTTGTCAGCAGAAGGGGTGAACAGAGGCCTTGGGTCATTATCAAGTTTAGACAGTATGTATGATCTGTACAGAATTAAAGTGACTTTCAGCAAGCCTTCAGGTCAAATTGGATTGTAAAATTATTGGTCTTCAATAAAACAAAACATGCACACAGACAGATATCGTTAAAAGGAGTTCTCAGACACTTTATATTCACAAAGGCTTACCAGTAATATACTAGAAACAGGACCGTTGGCACAGAAACTATCAGCTGCAGGTGTTGCCAATCTCTCACGAAGTATGCCAGTGTAGCTGTTATGAATGAACCGCATGTCCAGAAAAACTCACATACGATGCCCGTCAATACTCGCTTTAAAGGCCCAACCAACTCGACACCTGAAATCAAACACCAATCATTTGTCAAAATAATTTTATTTGAGCGGGTAAGCAAATGTTGTTTTACGTCACATTCAACCATGATCCACATATACGACGGTTGATCGCAATTAATGTAACAAGCCACGCCATGGAGTCACATAGCCAGCTTTCAGTCAGTTCACACATTGTGATCATAACCACCTAATCTCCATTTTTATCTACTATATAGCTGATGAACAAGTGGTTGTAGTCTGTCTGCCAGACCTTAGAAAATAATTAAAAAGGAGTCCAATTCAAATTGAGAATGATTTGCAAGTCTAAAGTCTCTCAGCGGTCTTTCTGTCTGCAGTGCTCACAAGGGAGATTCTGGCTTGTTTATGTCAGTTTAACTGGTTCTTCCCAGTGACACCTCTGGAAGCTTCTCTCCCTTGTCTAAACTTAATGAATACCAACTGTCGGGTCTCCCAATTACACACGTTATTGGTTTTGCATCAGGACGAGAAAGCTTTCTGCCCCAGAATTCACAAGGGGTCCCCAGATCCGGAAATGGATTAGGCATTCCTACCTACAACAAAACCGTTGCCCCAGATGGCGATGACGGACATCCCGTTGATGCAATAAAGAAGACTGAGGATGGCGAAGCTGGGGACAAAGGCTATCGAGATGGCGGACACAATATGCAGGATGATTGATGCCATGAACATCTTCTTCCTTCCGATGCTGCAGACAAGACATTGACCATAGGTGAGATCAACAAAACATTGTGGATATATGACATGCTTTGAAAGTGTGTAATATTAACTGGACACGTCCTAAAGGCAATGAGTTCTAAACCTCCACCACTCTGAAGTTGCTCTAAGGTTCTGTTGAGTCTAAACTTGTCTCACTCAGTTGAGTCTAGCAATGTATCTATCTGTGTGACGGGTGCCAAATCAATTGTTTGAATCAGAGTTTGTTAATGTTATTTGAGTGTTTTCTGTATTTATGGTCGAATTATTTTCTATGACAAGATACTTACAAATCTGCCGGGGGCAACAACAACACACTTCCAACCAATAGTCCTAGCATGGACATTGTCTGGGCATGAGTCTTTGTCAGCTTCATGTCGCATACCCATCCAAACTGAAAATGTTGGAGCAAATTCTGTGTGCTGGAAATTACCGGAACAACAACATAAAAGTAGATAAAATATTAATACATACATACACATACATGAAGTGCATGTTGTTTTAACGCTATAATCAACAAAACATCCAGCTACATATTGCAGCGGCATTTGCATAGAAAGTGTTTGGACCAGTGATGAGCAAGGAGCCGCGCTGATGGCTTGCTTGTCAAACAGCCGATGCAAATAACCAGCCGATTCCCCTTTCATGAGGCTCTTACTTTTAATCATGAGATACCTGTGACCTTGAAGGAAGAGAATGTGTGGATGTCAACTTCTTTATTATGAGGGGCACAACCTGTCGGAGTATAAGCTTACTCCTTCATCAGGTTATTTTTACCTGATGAAGGAGTAAGCATATCCTCCGAAACTTTGTGTTCCTCATAAAGAAGTTGACATCCACAATTTCTCTCCCATTTATGTAGCACTTATTGTATGACCTCGTAAGTCAGGGAATTTCCAATTCACTTCCTTGGTTTTACATTTTGCTTGTTTTGTCTTTGGGTCTAACGGTGCACAAATCAACATTTAAATGTAGATTTTGACCAATACATACCCAAAATCCAAAAAGGGATGGTTTTACGTAAATGACTTATTTAAAATATGGAAACGTTTTAGGCAAACCTTTGTGACAATAGTTGAACTGAATATATCCGTGGCGTAGACCCATTTTTCACATTTTCGCGAAGTATTTGTGTAAAACACATCTCCTCTTGTGCCATTGATGACATTGTTAATGAAACAAGAAGAGTAGAGTTGTGCTACTTCATTTGATAGAGGAATGGCTGCGTTGACTGCACGTGCATGTTGCTCGCCCTGAATGGTGTATGTGTCATTGTCCCAGTCTGGGAGGGCACACCTAGACAGAATCAAACGTAAATTCATTGGATTCAAAATAGGACAACCATTGTGAAGACCGTAGACATTACATGACGGTCAATCCCCCAACAAAACCTATGTTCAATTGAGGTCTCTGGGAAGACCATCAATATTGCATATTAACTCCTCAGCCTTTTCATTGTCATCTTTCTTATGACTTGGATCGTGGATGTTTTTGACAAAAGCGTAGGTTCGATGGCTGAAATAAAGATATGTGTTCCTTAAAATCATCCCTAAAACATATTATTGGTCGTGGGAAGCTTAAACAAAGTAAATGAAAGATAATTGTTTCTTTGGAATATAAAGGCAAAGTTTTACGTCAGTTCCCGTGATGGCGCACCCGATGGTAAAACTAAATTATTTCTAAAACATTTAATTTGTGAACTTTTTGGTCGAAGGATCCATAAATAAAAGTTATTTATAAACATATTATGTAGTTCTATATACCTGTAGTCTGGTACTCCCAGTGTAAAGACTAGCATCATTATCTGCACACCGGTTGATATCACAGGGATACATAGTAGGAAGTATAGCCTCTTCTGATAGGGGCCAAAGTCACCCAGGAGCTTCACGATGTCTTCAAACTTCATCTCGAAAGAAAGCTTCTGAGTGCATTATGTTTGTGTAATCACAAACAAAAGACGTCTCCTCGTTCCAGGGCGCACAGATGACCCAGTGATATGAATGTCAAAACGTGCTTTCCCATAGTGGGGAATCCGAGATCCTGTCCGGATGAACCTTCGTCTGTATACACAGTACATAACCCAACTGGCAGCTGAGTTCATTGAAGTGTTAAAGTGTGGAGGCTCAGGCAAATTGGCAGCAAATTTAATTCTAATTGTTCATACACTGTGACAACTCCATTTTATCTCTAACTCAAAATTTTGTATGCATAAATCTGACTTCTGATGCAAAGATATATTATTCATGTTCAACGCAAGACAACGTCCAGGCTATGATCACATGTGGGCAATATAATGTGGAGCAATTGTTTCCTTTAAAGGTATGCCACTTTGGTTGTTCAGCAATAAGTCGACATGCCCTGTAAAAACACACGTTGGCTAAGCGCCCCCTCTGTTTCATTCCCTGGCAGTCCACAGGGGAGATTGTTACCGCCGACGTCCGCACGCTGTATATTTATACTTCGGTCTAATTTTGTGTCTTCACCCTCCAGGTTTTGTTAAATCGTTCACAATTGTCTTGCTACTGGAGTGGTCACGGTCGAAACTCAGGTTTCGTCATTAATGGGTTCGGAACACTGTTCTATCAAGATTCTGACTTAGTCTGGTTGAACTGAATTAAACTGAGTTACTAGGGTTTGTAATACTCAGTTTCGCTGGTAATCAATGGATAACCAACCTCCCGTGATTTAGTCTTTAGTCGATTAAGACTTCTTGATATTCTGACGTGCTCGTCTATTTTGCGGTCTAAGTGACTTATTTTAGGGATAGGCACTCTGTGTTTATTTCCCGTTATTCAGGGTATTCACTCATGAATTAATTGACTCGGGTGTTAATTGACTTAATTATACGCATCTGGTCGGTATCTTTTCAAAGTGTTGTTTTAGCAATGGTTTTACTGTAATTCAGTTGCTTAGTTAAGCTGCTTGTATATTTGCTCTGATGTAATTAACCAGTGATCTTTGTAAGCGCAGACTGGGTTTATCTGATGTTTTATTGTCATCTATTAGTACTATTAGCAGTTATTATGAACCTGTGAACCTATTGCCAAATTTTCATTTTTACTTTATTCATATTTTATGACACCCCTGATCATTTGAGCATAGCTCCGTAACAATAGTATTACCTTTACGATGTTTGTCAGACACCAACTCAAAATGACCATGATAAAAATAAGGTTTGCCACTCAACAATGAATGATCCTAATTAAATTCAGTACCTCTAAATAGTATGATTTCCTTCAAAATGTTAATTAATCATCACGAACTATTACAACACATTCTAGAAGCATTTTGAAACATGAAAAACTCAATATTATAATATTTGTACCATACGATTGACATCTGGTAAACACTATTAACATTCTCAGATGAAAATCCGTTCATGAATATTGCTGTGTCAGTTTTTGTAAAGGCTTTGATAAAGTTTTCCACTATTGTTGGTTTACCCGAATAAGTTCACTCTGACCAAGGATCGTATTTCATGTCAGGGACAATTCAGCACGTCATGTATGAGCCGGGAGTGAGACGGGTCAAATCTTATGCTTGTCACCCTGAGTCACAAGGTACATTAGGGAGCATTCATTAGACTCTTACACGTATTATCAGGATTAACTGCTTTGAAACTGAGAATGACTGGATTGAAGAATGTTTGCTAGTAGGCAGTCAGGAATCACAAGGCTTCAGTCCCTTAGGGTTAGAGTTAGTCTTTGGTCACAGGGTCACTTATAGACAGGGACTTAATAACCAATCACACTTGAATTTGTGAAACTATCAAAGGCGAAATTGACTGTAAATCTTGCCAAGGGTTGATTTGGCACATGTTGTGTTGTCAGGTCACGGTCAGGTAATACCGGTCAACTGGAAGCTATAAATTTCCCGACATCTGGGTTTGGCTGGTAACAACACCAAAAATTGCCAAACTTTCTCTGATGTAGTGTCCGCTCTCACTACTTTGTTGTCCAAAAAGACAACGTTTATTTGGGACATTAGCTACCAAATTGTCAGAGCTAAACCCCTACTCATGAATTCTCAAGTCATGAAAGCACCGGATTTTGAGAAAACATTGAAGCTGGCAATTGATGCATGTGCCATTGGTGCTGGTGATGTATTGTTTCAAGAAAATGCATATGGCATCGGCCACCCTGTTTGTTACTTTTCAAAGACGTTTTACAAGCACCAGAAACATTACTCTACATGTATACAATAGAGAAAGAAACCCTTTCATTGCATTGCCTATGGCGCTACTCCCACCGCATCTCGTAAATCAAATATACAAATAATGCACATGAGACCGAAATACATTTGGCTTTTATCGGGTCTCGTGGACCACTGCAAAGATACTGGACGATTTGTGGCCTTTACATTGCTATACAAATATAACAAAAAAAACAGAAAGCTCAATATATTTCTCTTGTACATAAATTAGCTGGTGTAATGCTCTAATAAACTGATGCAGTACCGACTTTTAAATATAATGGATATCCTTCGTTTTAAGGAGAGAGTTTATTGTGGACCTACACCTTTATATGGGATAGTTTGGGTATTTAAGTATCGAAATACCGAAATATCCCCAATGTCCCCAAACTCGTGAGGAAATTCTGATTATACCATAAATTAGAACATCATCAAATAGGTTGCTCTGGCCTAAGGCAATGGAAAATTTTCTCGGACATGATGATTTTAATACACCATTTTGAGACATGACGCTTACCTAGACAGGTCCACGAACACGAAGGTGTCTATGCATTTATCCCACAATTATGTCAGGGTCGGAAGAGAGACGACAGTACGTCGTTTCCCCAACCACAAACAATACACTATTAGCTATTGGCTGTCATTTGAATGTCGTCATGACAGTGGCATGCCAAGTTTAGTTTAACATAGCTTCATCCCATTCTCGAAGCTAGGACCTTTTTCTGTCGTCATGTTTAACTGTCACCTGACGGAAGTATGGAGGTTTTGAAGATTTCAAATAATATTGTTGTACTGAAAATAGTGAAATGTGATTAATCATACGTGACGGTATGAGGAGTGAGTGAGAATAGGGTTCTTGCTTTTAGCATCATTTAAGTCGTATCGCGGCAGCATGACACTAGCAATGACACACGATGGTCTCATGAGGGGACTCGAACGTGGTTCTTAGTCGTGACGGGTCAACACTTTGCCCACTAGGCTACCCCCATCCCATAAGTATGTTCAGTGTAAACTAGATAACAACTGGCAGGTTAAATGAATGACTTCAGTCTTATCAGAGTATCACGAGTATCACTGTCTAAATATGAGACGTACGCCAGAAATGTGTCCGGGAATTCTCAAAGAATATTTGGGCAATTTCAGATATGGGATTTTTCCATAGCCTTTCAAGGTGTGACTTTCAGTAAACCTGTGATGCAAAGTTCACTTACTTGAATGGCTAGACGTGACTATATTATATATGACTATATAGACGTGACTAGCATCCATATATATATATATGCTAGTCACGTCTAGCCATTCACATATTTGATCCAAATCAGTCCGTTAGTTACCATCCCCAAAGTATGCCATTGGGTTGTTAACCCTTCCCGCAGTTCTGTCATTCTGTGTGTTAACGTCATAGTTACTTGTTATTTCCTTTGTTAACCGTTTTAGTGTTTGTTTACCCTTCTCATAGTACCATGTCATTTTGTTTATTGGCCTTTGCAATAGAGCTGTACTATTTCGTTTTGTTATATTTTCCAACAGACCCATGTCATTTCGTTAGTTAACCTCCATAGTGTCATTTAATGTTGTTTCTTAATTTCCTCTAAGTATGTCATTGTTTTGTAAAGCATCTTGTTTCTTATCCCTCCCGTAAGCATATAATTTTGTTTGTTAAATGTACCTTTTCAATCCTGGCGTATACGTATGTCATTTTGTTTGTTAATCCTCCCCTAAGCATCATGTTACGCTTGTTTATGTACCGTTTCCCCGTGTAGCGATTTTGTTTGTTAATCCTGCCCTAAGTATCATGTTACGCTTGTTTATGTACCGTTTCCATGTGTGTCATTTTGTTTGTAAATCCCCCCCCCCCCCCCCCCCTAAGTATCATGTTACGCTTGTTTATGTACCGTTTCAATGTGTGTCATTCTATTTGTTAATCCTGCCCTAAGTATCATGTTACGTTTGTTTATGTACCGTTTCCATGTGTGTCATTCTATTTGTTAATCCTCCCCTAAGTATCTTGTTACGCTTGTTTATGTACTGTTTCCCCGTGTGGCGATTTTGTTTGTTAATCCTGCCCTAAGTATCATGTTACGCTTGTTTATGTACCGTTTCCATGTGTGTCATTCTATTTGTTAATCCTGCCCTAAGTATCATGTTACGTTTGTTTATGTACCGTTTCCATGTGTGGCATTTTGTTTGTTAATCCTCCCCTAAGTATCATGTTACGCTTGTTTATGTACTGTTTCCCCGTGTGGCGGTTTTGTTTGTTAATCCTCTCCTAAGTATCATGTTACGCTTGTTTATGTACCGTTTCCATGTGTGTCATTCTATTTGTTAATCTTCTCCTAAGTATCACGTTACGCTTGTTTATGTACCGTTTCCATGTGTGTCATTCTATTTGTTAATCCTCTCCTAAGTATCATGTTACGCTTGTTTATGTACCGTTTCCATGTGTGTCATTCTATTTGTTAATCCTCCCCTAAGTATCACGTTACGTTTGTTTATGTACCGTTTCCATGTGTGTCATTCTATTTGTTAATCCTCTCCTAAGTATCACGTTACGTTTGTTTATGTACCGTTTCCATGTGTGTCATTCTATTTGTTAAATCTCCCCTAAGTATCACGTTACGTTTGTTTATGAACCGTTTCCATGTGTGTCATTCTTTTTGTTAATCCTCCCCTAAGTATCTTGTTACGCTTGTTTATGTACCGTTTCCATGTGTGTCATTCTTTTTGTTAATCCTCCCCTAAGTATCACGTTACGTTTGTTTATGTACAGTTTCCATGTGTGTCATTCTTTTTGTTAATCCTCCCCTAAGTATCACGTTACGTTTGTTTATGTACCGTTTCCATGTGTGTCATTTTGTTTGTTAATCCTCCCCTAAGTATCACGTTACGTTTGTTTATGTACCGTTTCCATGTGTGTCATTCTTTTTGTTAATCCTCCCCTAAGTATCATGTTACGCTTGTTTATGTACCGTTTCCATGTGTGTCATTCTATTTGTTAATCCTCCCCTAAGTATCACGTTACGTTTGTTTATGAACCTTTTCCATGTGTGTCATTCTATTTGTTAATCCTCTCCTAAGTATCATGTTACGCTTGTTTATGTACCGTTTCCATGTGTGTCATTCTATTTGTTAATCCTCTCCTAAGTATCACGTTACGTTTGTTTATGTACCGTTTCCATGTGTGTCATTCTTTTTGTTAATCCTCCCCTAAGTATCACGTTACGTTTGTTTATGAACCTTTTCCATGTGTGTCATTCTTTTTGTTAATCCTCCCCTAAGTATCACGTTACGTTTGTTTATGTACCGTTTCCATGTGTGTCATTCTATTTGTGAATCCTCTCCTAAGTATTATGTTACGCTTGTTTATGTACCGTTTCCATGTGTGTCATTCTTTTTGTTAATCCTCCCCTAAGTATCACGTTACGTTTGTTTATGAACCTTTTCCATGTGTGTCATTCTTTTTGTTTACCCTCCCTAAGTATCACGTTACGTTTGTTTATGTACCGTTTCCATGTATGTCATTCTATTTGTTAATCCTCTCCTTAGTATTATGTTACGCTTGTTTATGTACCGTTTCCATGTGTTTCATTCTATTTGTTAATCCTCCCCTAAGTATCACGTTACGCTTGTTTATGTACCGTTTCCATGTGTGTCATTCTATTTGTTAATCCTCCCCTAAGTATCACGTGACGTTTGTTTATGTACCGTTTCCATGTGTGTCATTCTTTTTGTTAATCCTCCCCTAAGTATCACGTTACGTTTGTTTATGAACCTTTTCTATGTGTGTCATTCTTTTTGTTAATCCTCCCCTAAGTATCACGTTACGTTTGTTTATGTACCGTTTCCATGTGTGTCATTCGATTTGTTAATCCTCCCCTAAGTATCATGTTACGCTTGTTTATGTACCGTTTCCATGTGTGTCATTTTATTTGTTAACCCTCGCCAAATATTTTTGCTTGTTAATATTCCACCAAGTGCATTTTTGTAAATACTCATTCCCCTGTGTATTTTATTTAGAGAAGAACCATGAGCAATGTCGTATGAAATGTCAAGCCTGCTGAAGTCTTGTCAACCTGTTATTCAGATTGCGTAATGCTATCAATATGTGAGGTCATGAACAAAGTATGATGTTATACATTATCCACAACAATGTGACGTCATATCTCGTCTTTGAACCTGCTGATTAATATCCAGAATAGCTAAAATACACATGTGCAAATATTGAAATTCTCTACACTTGCTCTTTAATCCGTTATGGAAAATAGTTTGTTTGTTAACAGACCCATCATATTTTAGGTGGCACTGTCCATTGATTATTCTTTTCAGCGATGTAGGTACAATGTTGCTGGCGGAAGAAACAAGTCCAAATTAAGAACAAATCATGGCATTCCTCAAGATCCCAACAGGCATATGTCAACTTCACTCTCCAGTATACCCGGACTTAAAGGAACCTATAGCCGTTGTACAGGACACGGATGGTACTGACCCACACGTAGATATCTTGCTACTGGGGGACTTGTGGTGAAGAGTTTCCCAGTTGATACTCTGCATCTGGCGCGAGGGACCCCTGCCAAAGTCAGGAAGGTTAAACTCCTGGAGAGGTCGTTTCCGAATCTGTTTCATGTGACCTTCTTTGAGAGACCTGGACAACTTGGGAACGACCAAACAATTGTTTGACACTTCAATAGTCGGGAACATCTTCTTCTGAATGACCTCTGCAATGTGACGGTTGGTACTCTCTATACACCTAGAACAGGTGCCTGGTCCAAGAATATCACAGTACTGTTGATCGTGCACGTCATGATTTGAACATGGGTGAGGTTGGCACAGAGACCTGTGTCTGTTTATTGTGATGTAGCTTTGAGTCTTTGAGTTAATGGATGAGATAGCATTTGGCTGCACGCTCGCTTCCCTGGTGAAGGGCCTTGGCATTCCGTACCCAATTGGTTTGGATTTGGGAGCTTTGTAGAAGGTCTGAAGTATCATTTTGTTGAAAGGGCCTCGAGAGTAACGCGGGAGGTTGCATCTGATGATGTATTCTCGTTCCCTTTTAGTGTCCACGTCAACCTCAGAAGTGTACTTTGTCCTTGGCCTCTGAGGTCTAGAGGGAGGTAACTCTCTTCCGGGTGTTGCCAGTCGATCGAAGTCGTAAATCGACCTGAAGGTAATGGCAGTCAATTCATAATTAAAAAGAAGAATACTTGTAAGGAGAAGACTAGAAACATGATGATTGCACTCAAATCTGAAACAATGTCTTCATAACCACATTTCCATTATCTGGGTGATACCAGTCTGGGAATATAGTCATGTATGTTGCACCTGAATCAAGAAGATGCTATCACGTAAAACAGAGGTTTGGATCAGAATGGCAAGAATGCAGTGTCACAAAGTATTAAATTCTAGCCCAACAGAAGGATTCATATGTAACATGTACTCGTAATCGTGTTTTAAATGTGTTAGGACACACCTACGTGTGTCGCGGAATACATACTTTCTGTCCATTGTAGATTTGGCTGTCCTTCTCGATGTAGCCCCCGCCTTTTTGTCTTCCGTGAAACTCCACATCGCCCCTGCTCTGTCCCTCACTGTCCCCCGCCATTCACAAGCGCTCCTCTGGGGATTCAGAGACCCCAAAAGGGAAAGGTCGCTGAAAAATTTAAAAAATCAATTTGTATGTAATCTTTTAGACCAATGTATATGACGATTTCAACGAATACTCCCAGCTCCACGAATAACAAGGGATGGATCGACAAGGTGTATCGTGTATCGGGTATCGTGTGTCGCGTATCGTGTATCGTATTTTGTATCGGGTATCATGTACCGGGTATCGCGTAGGAGGTATCGTTTATCGTATCTGGTAACGGGTATCGTATATAGTGTATTGCGTATCACGTATCGTATCGCATCGCGACCTTACCCTGATAATGATTATTTGTTTGTCAACACCTGACAGTGCTCGTTGTGGTAAACGTCTAACACCTGCATCTTCACTTTTCAGCCACATGACACTGATACCTATTCGCTCATTTTGAAGGAAATTTGCATTGCATGTTAACCTATTTGACAATATTCCATGATAACAAAGATCTGAAGATGCGTCTGCAAAATCAATGGCTGATGGCTGATGGCTGATTGTAATCGTACACCGTCGGTACGGGACGTTGCTCATTATTTCAATAACTGGTTTGCCTCGTCTATACTCGATTATGTCAGTTCGTCGTGATATAGTTTGAATATGGCTGATTGTGGCATAAAAACTACTCGTACGTACTCCTTATACTCCATTGTTTAACAGCCTGTTTGAAGCTATGACATGTTCTGGGAGGATTGTATTTTCATTATTAATGAAGTTGCCAATATTGCACAAAGCTAATTTAGCTAACGATTGTAAACGATCTTCACATCATTTGTTCTAGTTGTTATAATGGTATGGAGAACTCTTGAGTCAGTTATGGAGAACGGGAATGTTTGGAGAATTTTATTGGTTTGACTATTACGGACTACTGTACATGAGTGCAGTGGGGTGTGTTCACCTACCCATCTGATTGTATGATGTCCAGCATGGCTTGTCTTGTGTCCTCCTCGCTCCAGCCCATATCATCCCCATCCGCGAAGGAGGGAAGGTCCTCCACACTCTTGGAACGAAGCATTGTCAACCAGACCTTCTACTGAAACTCCTTACACACGTTCACCTTCTCATCTGATCTGACGGTTTTATTGTTGCTCTGTTTTGCTGGATCATTATCACATCAATGTCTTATTCCTGCTTTTCATAAATACCATATGTACGTACACGCACGTTGTACTATACATAACATATTTCAATAATGTTTTCCAAACAAATCGTTGACCTAAATGTTTGTAACGTTCAATTACTACTAACGTCCGTGGACAAGTTCCAAAGAACGAGCCTTAGGGACCAAGTCATATAGGTTTAAGGTAGATCCGAAGCTGGCCTGTGTCTTTACGATGTCACCTCTGGGCTAGTATTGGTATCTCATCACCTCCAGAACGATAGGTCACTCACGATAATCGTCTTGCCGTCAGGGGACATCTAATGACATGTCAGCTACGATCTATGTCTATAAGATATCCCTTAATCGTATCCATGGAACTCCAACTAGTGTGTGGGGGACTCCTCAGCTTCTGTTCTGCGTTCTGTATTGTGTCCTCCGTTCCATAGTTACAGCCGCCTACTGACGACGTGTATAGGTGTGAGCGAAATAGAGTAGCTTTAATGGTCATAGAATAAGAGGGTCTTGTTGGGAAATCTGGTCGTAATCTAGATAATCCAACAGCTCTGGCCTGGTTTTTCTGTTAAGTAGATTAACACTTGGATTTCGACATGTTAATTGTAAAAGGTTTCACAAAGTCTTATTTTACAGATCAAACAGCTTAACTGGGTGCACCATGTTTAGGGACATGTTTAAGTTATACGTATAACAGGATTTACAGAAGCACTTATAAGCAAAGTTTTCTGACAGGAGTGTACTTATGTTAAAAGGTAAATTAACTATAAACCTTTTGCACTGAATAAACCTTATGCAGTGGGTCCACTGTACGATTCCGACTACATTACTGGCTTTTTTTATGAATCACTATCAAATAGTGACGATACCAGTTTTTTCTTGAAAATGTGAACCTATACTGCGTCAGCTGCGGTACCCGTAACAAACACATGCAAAGGCATGTCAAGTGATCACCTGAAAAAGGGAGTAAAAGTCAAAATAGAGAATTGCATCGGACATCAGTTTGGTCACTGGTGCATCAAGTTTGGAATGTCCACCACGTGTCTACCATAGCATGTTTTGAAAACTTTACTAATGGATTGAATTATGTAACCCCGATCAAACAACTTTTGAGCAGGACGAAGGACGTTGAGAGTCGTAGGACCGTTATGAAATCTTTTTAGAAAGAGCATATTCGATTGTACCTCAAAAGAAATGTAAACACCAAAGGCTGGAGCTTGTTGAATATTGTTCCATATGAAGGGAAAGTTGACTATTGAAAAGTTGAATGGTTCATTACATGTGATTACAGCGACTGACTTCTTTGCGGCCTGGTGACCCACTCTTTAGATAATACTGTGTGTTGTAACCAAACTGGTCATGTCGTTATGACAATAATCCTATCTTTAAACTGGTTATCTTTCATGTGCAATATCCTTCCATGAAAACACTTCGGAGAAGCCATTTGTAACTTTGCAAAAAGCCTACCAATCATGTGGCACTTGATGAATGACTTTGGATGGTCATAAAATGGATCACTTTATATAACTTTCCTTATAATATTCCACATATGCTGTGCCACCGGTGGGCCAGTATTGCTTCCCAGGTCGTAGCCAAGCGTTGTCCAGAAAGCCGTTTCAGAAGCGATGAAGGTTGATGATAATAGGGATCAAACTCAATCTCGTGATACCTATGTCCACTTGTTATTTATTTCCCTTTTATTAATCAAGAAATGTTACCCAGCAGAATAAGAACTTCAGGTTGTGTATAAGTGTCAGGAAAAACTAGTGCATACGAAAAGGCTAAGCAACCTAATCCGCAATACCACAGGTACTGATTCAGAAGCTCGCCTTTGTATATAAAGTGGTGAGGATGTGCTGAACTATCTGTTTTGTCTTTAAACCATTCTTTCTTAGGATACCATGCATTTTCACTGATGGTTCTCAGATTCTCTAAACATTTCATGATACCTTTTTGCATCCACCAAGTCAGTGAGCCTAACCACCCGAACCCGTTTGTGGCCTCTCACGACAGGCATGGGTTGATGAAGACCTATTCAAACCCGGATATTTTGGTATACTTGACAGATATGATTGTGAAATTATCACTAAGTTTATGAGATGTTCAGAAGTGAAACCAAGTTTTTTTCCCCTCATGGTACAATCTGTTGGTTCAGTGCAATACTTACTTTTAAAAATGGGGTGTCACCATTGATGGGTACAAGCATGATACATTTCATCTTCATTGGTATTGTGTTTTTTAAAGTGATTACGATTACACCTTTTGTTCCCCGTATATCTGCTAGCTGCCCATATTTGATTTTCCATCATATTTCCTCGAATAACTTATATCTATATATAGTGACCAACTATCAGACTTCTTGCCCTTGAAGTTTGGGAGAAACTGGAGAGAGTTTATTTAATCAAATATGGCTACCTGGATGCCATATTTAAATTACAATTTTGATGCTTTGAACAAACGCGAAATACCTTTGGTAGCAAACATATACACAGACTTTGAACTTCAAGACGTTTCGGAGAATCAAAAATGTAAACATTCTATGGGTGGCAAAATGGAGGACTAAATATGCATTGTGAATAAAAAACTCTTAATAGTACAGTGAACATGTGGTAGACATTCAACTAATTACATCCACTCTATTCCAGACAACTGAAACGTGGTTACTTAAATTGTTTCAAAACTATAACCTTACTTCATGTCAAGGAGAATTAATTGCAACAATTTGTTATGTACCTTAATTATTGTCCAGAACCAAACAAACGTGGCCGTATTTAAAAAGGAACACTTCCTGGGCATTGGCATCTCGTGGCATATGAAGCAGACCTTTGTGGCCCAATAGGCAGGCAACTTACATTGTATCAAAGAGTTATGTGGTTTTTGCTAAATTTAGGAATTCATGCCTGCCTCTTTCTTCAATTTTGAGAAAAAATGTTATCAAGAATTCAATTGTCAGCGATTGATTCAATACTTTTGAAATATTTTCAAACATATTTGAAATATTAATACATTGAATCCGATTAATTTCATTTTGAATTCATAATATTTTGACTTGTAACCAAAGTGTTCCCAAACCTAAATCAGAAACTTTGACAAAGAGGACAATTAGGCGAAGTTGGGTGAAATGTCTGCCTTAGAGTCTTGTTATTATGATCTGTGGCTGTTAATAAGAATTCAGTTTCTGTCATGAAGAGTTCATTTCTTTGAATGGTGCTGATGCCCGGCTCAAAGAGGTTGTTAGGGAGGTAACACTAGTACTATGGCTTCAGCGGGAACTGGACAATCCGTACCCACAGAGATCCGTTCCTTATATATTTTGAGGACTCGTACACAAATGTTGGATAACCTGTACCCACCCGTACCTGATCAACTGAATATCTCGTACTCCAAAAAAGCGTGTTCGTACGCAATGGGTGGTTGTTGGTTTGTTTTTTAACGCCGCACTCAGCAATATTCCACCTATATGACGGCGGTCTGTAAATAATCGCCATGAAGACGCCGGGGTAGAATAGGTCTTCAGCAACCCATGCTTGGCGTAAAAGGCGACTATGCTTGTCCTAAAAAGGCGACTAACGGGATTGGGTGGTCAGGCTCGCTGACTTGGTTGATGCATGTCATCGATCCCAATTGCGTGTATCGATTGCGTGTCCCAACATCATGTTTCATCACAACAACGTGTATCTGCACCCAGATGTACATTAACCAACTTCTTGCACAGAACAATGTCAATGTGTTGTCCAGGATGTTCACAAGATCTTAGTCTCACGGAACACCTCTGGGATGAACTGGGCAAAGTTTAATTTCAGCTTTATGAACCTTTTCTTGTATTCGATCAGTAACTGAGTGAATGTTAAATTTACACTGCTTTTAGCAATGTTCCTGCAAAAGTATGGTATGGGACACCAGAAATAGGCTTTACACATTGTACCCATGTGGTTAACCAGTAATTGAAACTAGTTAACACATACTATGGAGCTCAAGAACAAACCTCTTAACAAGATTCACCCTTCAATGTAGGGAATAGAACACGTAAAAGCTGTTTAGCCATTTCAATTTAAATGATGATAATATAAAAAGACAGGCAAGACAATCATATTATGTATATTTTATTAAGTAATGACAATACCCTCACTTTACAGTTCACTCCCAGTGCGTGTCATGTTGGAATCTACAACAGAAAGGGCCAACTAATTGCACACCTACCACACCTACAACTTAAACAAGCTCCTTGAATAGACATCCTAATAACCAAATATAATTGCAGGTGGCTCAACTATAAAAAGATATAACTCAATAAAACCACAGACTTTTGCATCTGTAGGCATGTCAATACATCACATTGCCATAATCTCAAGCTCAATTACCATCAGTAAGTGTTTAATGGTAAAGATGGGCTTGCTTTAACTTTTCAGCTTGATCCAACCACGGCAGTCTGATTCAAATCTGGTCTAAAATAAATTGATGATTTTTAGAGTGATTTTCCCAAGAGTACATATCAAACTTAATAATAGTTAATATGATCAGAAAAAACACTTGCCAGAGAAAGACATGGTTGTTTGGGGAGAAATAAATAATAATTTCCAAATTATAAATCAAACAAGAGAGTATCTAGTATCAACAGGGGTAGACACCATTAAACACAACTAGTCCACAGTTCCTTCCTGACTCGTGGTTTATGTAACAGAATTTGGGTGCAAACAAGTCCAGGTTTTCACAAGTCTCAGAACTAGCAGACTAGTGTCTGTGCCTAAGCCTGATCAACAGTGAGATTCTGACCTCAGCCTTCATGTTCATTATCTCCATAAAATCACAAAATCTATCCATTACATCTCTCATTATCGTATTAAGAATTCCTTAATCAAAACTTATATGGATATGTTGGAATTTCTGTTCTGCAAACAGAAGGTTATTCAATAACATAATAACCCAATCAATAAGCCACCATTGTCAACTATAGCATAAAAATAAATACAACTGAATTAAATGATTACATCTAAATAGATAGTTCATTTTCATGAAATTAGAATGCCGCTTGACAGAAAACACTGAAAAGACAAAATAAATTTCAACATCAAATTTCATTACTAACAGGACGGTTTCACTGCATCAATGTACACAATTACAAAAATGTTAAGTGAAAACAATCATATTTTACAAACAGTTGACAATTATCCAGTAGAATAACAAATCTTTGTGAGAGGTACGTTTTTCCTTTCAAGATAAAATTATAACAAAAATGTCAGCCAGTTACACCTTGATTTCTAACTACCAATCGATGTATTCGTAGCTAAAAAGATCCCTTAATGTCACTATATCTGCTCTCATTAAAGCACTTTTCAGATTTCAAAAATGAACAATTTAATGTCACAGAAAAACATTTTCTTCAATTTCAATGAAAACATTATAGATTCTGTCATCCAAATGACCTGGTCTCCATGAAGAA